GTCAGAAAGCACATAAATATGAAATAAATATACAATCTCTTTAGTTCTATGTATAAGACTTAAAACAACAGTAAATTTAAAAAAAACTGGAAAAGTAAAAAGCACTAGTGCGAGAAATCCAACTTTCCGCACGATTTGTAGTGCGAAAAATACCACGTTTGAGCAACTGTATTAAAAATGAGTTTTTTTTAAATACTGTTTTGTTTTATTTTCAATGTAGTTTTTTCGCAAATGTATTAAAAAACGTCGTTTGATACACGTGCGGATTTGTCATTTTCACTTGTCTCGCGTCTTGACCCTCGCCTCTGGCTCGGGCCAAGAAGCCTCGAGACTCGTAAATAATGATTAACTTTCCGCACTTATATCAAAAATAACTATTAATTCTTGCAACAAGTTCCAAAGTTTGTTGCTAAATAGCTCTATCGTGTCAAATCAAAATACTGTAATATCAGTTCAATCAAATACATTATGCTATTTAGAGAAAAAGCTGCAAATGAAATAGGACATTTCGGATTTTTGTAATTTTTGAGGTTATTAATATAAAAAGATGCATTTAAGTTACTTTGCATATTAGATAACGAAGCAATCTATCCATGTATTATAATTTTTATGATACCGGGTGACGGGACAATCAAGTCGAGCCTCTCGTGGCAAGCGACACGCCTATCCTTAGCAGTTCCAGCGTCATTTCAGAGCTTTAAATTGCAAAGATCTGAGGAGGCACTGCCACTGCGCCCTGAGATATAAGTTGACAAGACCCATGTGCCTGTAATTTCACCAGCACCCTTCAAATCCGGAACGAAGTTATACGCATGTGTACACTGCTTGGCGGCAGAAATAGGTAAGGTGACAATACTTCCCGGGATAAACTCTTTCACAAGGAGCTCTATTGCTACCGACTGTTCTGCCCTAAGGGTAGGTAAGAAGGGTCACTACAATCAAAACTAACGTAGAAAGATATGGGAGCTTGTTTTAATATAGCTTACCCTATCTACCGACCCGAGAGATAGGGTTTTCCGGATAAACTAGCTATCCTCCGGTTTGCTGTTTAGGTTATTGGGAACTGGACAGACATCGTTTTTCGGCGTCGGGAAGTGAGCGTGCCTTACAGCTCCGCCACCAATGAGGAGATTTGGTAGTGGACTTAGAGTCGACGGCTTAGTGGTGGCAACCACTTGTTAGCAGCCATGAAACATTAATTCTTGAGAATAATAACGAAGAAATGCAGAATCTGACTTCATTAAAACTAAGAAGCTAAAGAATTTTGGCAGGATGCATCGCGGTGCGATTGAAATATCTTGTCAATGTCTTCGGGTAAAAAATTAATAAATTATGTAGCTCAAATGAAAAGGCTTCGAAGTTTAAGCCAGGCCCACAAATCTAAGTTTATCTTTTTATTTCTTAGAATTAAAATTTTGTTGGTATAGCATACGCCATTTTCTCTTCTGCGAAACTTTTCTTTACCTCCTTTTACGGCGTGGTCATTACTTTTCTTTTGATTTGGTTTAAGTAACTTATCTTCGGTCATTTTAATCCAACTTTGTCTTTTAACTTGGATGAGGACTTTTCCTTTTAACCAGATTTTTATTTTAATTGATTGCCGTATTAGATGATTCACTTTTCTCCTTGGTTTCCAATATTCCTAAAATGTTTCTGCGAATATTCATTTTTGTAAAAATTAAGAAGTCATTAAAAGCAATACCAAGTTAATATAAAAAAAAGGATATGCTATTCGATCATTCTTTCTTAGCAATCTCATAGTAACCTGCTCTTTAGTTTAAAAAAAGTTATTATTGTATAAAAGTTGTCGTACATCATCGTCATAGATGTACATTTAGGTGGTGGAGAGCCTGGACATTCACAACACAGGTTTTTTCCTAGTGCAAACTCCAGAACTCTCAAAGAAAATTTTTATTCACACTCAGAAAAAATTCCTTCGATCCGGCGGGATTTGAACCGACCAACCGACCAACTAACCCAGGGAACGAACCAGCGGACCTCATGAATTTTTCTATATCTTTGTATTTGGTTTTTCAGCGACTTTTTAGCCGTAGCTGGTACACATCATCATCGACATCGCTAGCCGGGGCTGGTAGCTGTAAATGTATCTAACTGGGTGACGAAATATCATAGATTTCTCATAGATGGCGCTGTATTTCTCATAGATAGTTATTGTACCAAAACCTTTGTAAATAGAGCGTAATAAACATTTTTGTATTTTGTGTTTTTTGTATTCCCCGAATAGTGTTCACTATCCAATTTGCGTGGCATTTTTTATTAATTATGAATAAAAATTTTTTATCATGCAATATTATTTAATGTTCGAGTGTGATGTCGTGAAATATTATGCAATGCAGCAATGAGAAGAACGGGTAGTCGTTTTATTTATACAAATAAAACGTGTACAACAAGTGACAGTCAGATGAAACAAACTGTATTCTACAGCCAAAGAGTTCAATTTTCAAATGTTGTAATTACTTTTTAAGTATTGCTTATGTAAGTGGCCAGTTCCGGAAACATATAGTGCGCTCTATGTGTTACACAAAGAGCAACCCTTAGAGTTTCTTACTCATTGTTCTCAGGGCAATCTGCTTTACGAATGAGTAGTACAGTTTAATAAATGTAATTTACTTACGAATGATATATTTGGGTACAATTTTAGAATACGTAACACCGGCTAGAAAATAATATTTTTTAATAGATAGGGATGGTAAAGAGGCGTCAAATACTAAAACTTCAATTAGAATATTGTGAAATAACCTAAATATAGCAAAAATATTAGATTAAAAGAAAGAAAAAAAGTTTATTCAATAAATTGAGTCACTATATACACTTAAATCTAATATGAATTAACACTAAAACAACAAGTGACTGACTAATTGTAAATTGCATAGTGCACATGCGGCTTTTTTGCCTCTTGAGGAGATTTGTGCCTGATCGGTCTTTAAAGAGAACGGTCTTAGTTCAATCGGTCAACTGAACTAGGTCGGTCTTCTAGTTCACTTAGTTCATTTATTTCCTGTTCGTTAGTTCGTTTTGTCCTTGATTTTCATGATTCTTTTTTTGTTGGAAAGGGGGTACTTCCATAGTGGTCCCATTTCATTTTGAAGAAAATCATCCACCTCCAAGGGTGGCTGTTCACGCATGAAGATTCATTTTCATAAATAGCACCTATCATTAATTTAGGAGCAATTACTTTAATGGTTGATTTTGCTATTTCTCCAATTCAAGGCGTTTTTCTCTCAATATACTTTGAGTAGTAAGAACCGATTTTTATTATCTCCAGTGTCAAGTCCTGTATAGTGGCGAACTAGGGGATATTTCAATAAAACTTAGCAAATAGACGTAATTCCACGTACTTTTGAGGTCGGTTTTTTTGGTACTCTGAACTGATTTTATATTATATCAACTGAACTAATATTATGGATATCTTCTTTCTTAATTATGTGATGCCACAGTCATGGTATCATCAGTTTAAGGAGACTGGTATCAGTCTCCCGAGAACCTAAACGGTACATAGAAAGAATCGCTCGTTTTTGCAACACAAATATGGTTTGTGTATCTGACTGATGAACTAATAGGACCGTGCAAGACGACCTAGTTCATGTCGGTCAGTGTCAAAAATATATTCCTAACAGATCGTAGTTCATGAACTATACAAGACTACCTTTGAGTGTAACTCTTCTACCAGCTTAGGTATATCCTAATTAAGTTAATAACTAATCGAGTTCTTTGGTTTTGGCTTCTTACAATTTACCTACATAGCTTAAGTTAAAAAAAAACTATGAAATGAGACTTCATTCAATGTACTGCTGACTTTCGGCTCTGTTAGTAAGTTTGCTAATCACTGTCCTTAGAAAATCAGATAGACAAGGTGAAATGTGTGTTTTGTATGGTTTAGACATTTAGTTTTCAGTTTTAAATTGATATTGGCTTATCAGTTAATCATAAATTTCAATTAATATCACTTGGTTATAATCTCAGTACAGAGTACTAAAAAAACCATAGTGCAAACTGTTGAGTCATCGAGTCGTCAAACCATTGTAATTTACGTAACTGTTATTTATTTATTCAAGTATTTTATTCGGTATATAACAGTAAACACTCAAAGGAATTTTCAATTAACTTAATTGAACACAAGTACTTGGAGTGTTAGAGTAAAGAAAAGCTCTTGCAAACTCGAAACTTGAACTTGAAGCCTGCCTTGAGGTTTAACGCGCTTTGGTTTGTGGAGTACCTTTTGTTTACTAACTAATCTTTGGCCTGTCGGTGTTAATTAAGAACTTTTAATTTTTAAATCGAAAGATTTATAATTTTGTTAGTAAAGTCAGCTCTAATGTCATTAAAAAAATATAGTTGCCATTTTTCTTGTACAGTGATGTGATTGGTTTAGTTTTCAAACAACTCAATGAAACAGGATCATTTTTTGAATCCAAATTACGTATATTTGTATTTTCAAACAAACTAACGTTTTATGGCCACGGCTGACTTAGAATTAAAGCTTAATAAAGTAAATTAGTAATGTAACAACCAAAACATGTCACATAACAATCTTAGTACAGAGTACTAAAAAACCTCAAAAGTACGTGGAATTACATATAATTACCAAATTTTATTGAAATCGGTTACCGGAAAGTGCGCAAACCCGGATTCATCCCCTAATTCGCCACTATACGGGACTTGACACAGGAGATAATAAAAATCGGTTCTCACTACTCAAAGTATATTGAGAGAGAAAAACGCCTTGAATTGGAGAATAGCAAATCAACCAATAAAATAATTGCTCCTTAATGGCTCTTTATAATAAAATTTAGGCGCTATTTATAAAAATGAATCTTCATGCGTGAACAGCCACCCTTAGAGGTGGACGATTTTCCCTTTCTAACAAAAAAAGAATCATGAATATTGGTTTACAATTTATCGCGTAACATACATACAAACAAACAGCCGAATTGAGAACCTCCTTTTTTTGAAGTCGGTTAAAAAATAACTACATGAAAATAGAGAACACTTTTTATTTCAGACGATTAAATAGTTCAAAAATCAACGCATATTCCTTTTCTTTCCCAATCCCCATATCTAGTTGGTTCCGGTCCCTTCGGTCCTCCTACCTCACCAGTATGCGGATTGGTATTCTCCGGCCACGGAGGCAATGGGTCCTCTTCTTTTCCTCTCTTATACTTCAGTAAGTTCTGGGAATAAATATCTTCCTTTGGGTTTTCTATATCTTCTTTAAGTTTTTTCCTCAATTCGATGATACGTTTGGAATCTTCCCTCTTGACTGGGTTAATTGGTTTATGGATGGGCCTGTGGTCGTTAGGATCTTCGCCCCATGCTTCAGAGCTTTCATTATCAATGTGGGAATGACTGCGCGTTATCACAACTTTTAAAGGAGGCCTATTAGCTATTACTTTGCGCAGAATGCTCATCACGGCCATTCGCAACATGTTGAATTTTGATAATAGCTGGTAATAGAATTCAATTTCAATTACCACTTTTTAAATAAAATCATGTAAAATTTTTAGAAAAATCTCATATTTGACAGCAACGCGTTTGAAAGACAGTCATCGTTTTCTTTTATTCGAAAATAAATTTGAATTCCGAATGAATGTCATGCCAATAAAATTATCTATGGTAGATAATTGTATAAAATGACACGATCTACAATGTAGAATATAATTTTTGTAATAATAGCCTAATTTCATTATTCTCATGATTATGTCGCTGCTTTTCATTAATAGGGGCTCAAAATAAAGTAGTTCGTATATATCTTACACCTATACCATTAGTGGGATAAGGTGTTCCAAATGAGTAGATAAATGTCTACATATAGACACAGTTAAAACCACCTGTGGCGTAAAGAGTTCGTCCAGGGAAAAGTACAGCTATCTTACCTATTTCTACCGCCAAGCAGTAATATGATACTGCCTGCTGATTTTGAAGGGTTCAGGAAGAAATGACGGGCGTATGGGGATATTTCTCCCGTTACTTTATATTATAAAAAATAGATGTGTTGCCTGTTCTTCTTTGCCAGTGCTTTTTTTTATTATACTAAGGGATGGTAAGCGACACGCCAGTCCATAACATTTACAGTGCCACTTAAGAGCTTTAAGTCTCGAAGATGCTATGCTCTCCAAAATGAAATCGAAGTACTTAACGCATTTCTACCTTAGTCTTCGATACTATTCAATATTAGTCAGGAATGACACACCACAACATAGTTTTGTTCGTTACACCTATAGAACTTCAGCGGCAATACACAATTACATGAAATGACGATAATAACAGACGACAGAGAAGTGGTAATAAGAAAATTATATTATTCTATGAAAAGTTGGTCATGCGAGCTTGAGCGATACAATGTTAACATCGACGACACAACACAGCCAGTTTCGATCAAGTCAGTACGCAAGGTACGTAATACTCTTATCAGTAACAAGGATTTTATCGATTAACTGCGACACAGGCTTTGCCTAGTGCAGGAATCGTAGGTAATTCTCTGTATGCGATATACGCTACAATTGATTTGTGTTTCCTGGTTCTATGTCATAATTTAAAAATGTCGTGTATCATAACAATCTCCTTGTGAAATAAAGTATTTTGTATTTTTTTTGTAACAGCTTATTTTAACTAATGCGGATATTGTAGAAAAAAAGTCATTAATTGATCGGTGGTTTTAACCACACCACGTCACTTCTCCTATCTGCCTCGTGTATACATAAGCTTAAAAAATTAAAAAATATTACTGACAGCAGTATAATATTTTTTTCCATCTTGAATTTGGAATGTTTATGTTCTATTTCACGTTTTAAATTAATTTCTATTATTTTTCTCGAAATGGAGGGAACAAAACAGTTGCGTGCTATTGTAATTTTGCTACATATGGCGGGAAAAACCAATAGAGATTTTCCGTGACATAATTTTTTTGGGGTAAGCCGTAACTTCGTGTATTACACCATAAAACGTTACTAGGAGATTGTTTATCTGAAAGATCTCCAAAGGAGTGGCCGCTCAAGGTCCGTAAGGACGGCTGCGAACATCAAACTAATCAGAGAGCGACTTCGCCGAAATCCATGTCGAACTCAGAAGACTTGCTTTGCAGACTAACATTTCGCATGTTTCAGTCAGCAGAATAATGAAATACGATCTAAAGATATAAGCCTATAGTAGTAGGAAAGGTCACATTACCTTCGTAAATTACGACACGAACCACATCCGACGCTGCGAGAAAAAGATTAGTATTTAAAATAACTTTTTACAAAAAAAACCGACTTCAATATTTCGTGGAATTACATCTATTTGCCAAGTTTTGAAAGTGCGCGAAGGCGGATCCATCCCCTAGTTTGCCATACTTAGAGGTGCAATATTTTCTTCAAATTTAAAAGGGTCCAATCATTGACTTACCATTATTTGGACGTCGGGTCGGGTAAAATCGTATACAGAGCGTCATTCACGCTTTAGTCTTCGTTTGTTCGACTGACAGCGAAGCAAGCAAAATTAGACAGTACTGCGATGACAGTTTTAGGTGTTAATTGAGGGAGTACCTGGGGGCCTACCATAACCTTTCGAAAAGCAATCTTATTTCAATGTAAGCTTAAAGTAAGCTTATTACAATATTACTCATATTCTTACCATGACAAACCTGTCAACCAAGTAATGTATTATTGCTAAAGTGACTGAAAGAACGAATGATTTCCCAATATTGTCTATTCCTTACTAAAAATAGGAAAGAGATAACGCTATTGGAAATATATAATGATATCTCTTTCTTTTTTGATGTTCCGAATCGTGTTATCGTAGTATAATGTTTAAGTATTTAATGTTATTTGCATTCAGAGAAATTTGACTGTTAAAAAAAGAAAAGTATGCAATAATAAAATCTATGAAAATTACGTTGTTTTCAATAATTATTCCGCATTTTCATGAAGTAAAATAAATAAAACAAAACTGAGTCTCAATAGTCACGTTATGAATGCGGAACTATAGTCTAGTGTCAAGTGTTAGTTTCGCCAAGGATCATATAGACGGCGCTGTCATAATTTTACGAAATAAACATCGCGTATTTTTATTTAACGAGATATTAAATGTAAATAAACAAGTTCAACTTAACTTTTAATCATTAGAAATCAATATCAAGACAATAAAACTGAAAATAATATTGTTTCCACTGCGTCCGAGTAACTATTTCAAAATTGCTAAATTTGACATAAGAACAATATTACTTTAATGTTAAAATCGAGTGATAGTACGAACTGAGTGAATGAATAGTCACAAAGCTGCCAATAAAACATCATAGTTTTAACATTACAATAAGCTTACTTTAAGCGCGTTATGGTACGAAAAGTCAATGTAAGGTTAAAGTAATATTGTTTTAAGAGGTTGTGGTAGGCCCCCAGGTTTCATTCCCACTAGAATCAATTTAGGAACGTTGTTAAATGACTTCTGGTAATTGTAATATAGGCAATTCCCTACGCTCTGAGCCAATGCGGGTTGGAAATTTTACACGTTATTTGATGGATAGGTACATATGTTGTTACCATAGTCTAAGCTTGTTACAGTATTATGGACTTAAAGGATGGAAAAAATAAAGGAAAGGAGCAGCCCTGTCTACGGAATAAACGTGCCTACCTAAACCAAAATTGTGCCACACATATGGCGGATTTAGTGTTGTACCATAATCATAGATAAGTCAACATCGACATGCAAATGTATGCCTTGAATTGTGAAACTGTTTTTTATGTTTGCAAATTTGTGTAGTGTACTGTAACCAAAGTATGAGCCATTTTAATCAAAATGAAATATAAAGTTATTACCAATAAATGTAACGATGGAATTGCGTTATCATGTAATCTAGTTAAAGAAGATGGTATTTCATCCAATGTTTATGTTCGGCAGTCCTATAATTTCCAACCATCATTTCTTTCTGTTTTCATTTGTAGGTAAACTTTAAAAATAATAATAATGAAATAATAAAAACCTCGTAATGATAAACTACTTAAATGAGTCTAATTACATGAGATATTTGGGCTATAGTATGATTTATAGGCAGAAAAATAACACATGTCGCCGGTGCAATGTAACATTCGGTTGATTTCCGCTATTTCTACTGCCGCACCCCTTAATGCTGCAGCGACGCATTTTTATCAATACTTAATTGTTCTCCCTGTCAATATTTTTCTCCATTTCATTACAATTCATGCGAATAATTCACTAAAACATTTGGCCAAACATTGGTTTTGACATTTGATGGACTTTCCTTTGACAACCGGATACGGTTATCAAAGGGTAGGTACTAAAAAAATGGCAAAATGAGTACAGTTGGCATTTAAGATGACGTTACGTATTTTCGATTCCCGTGTTTGACATATATCAATGTAGTGCTATCTCTTTTGGCTTACGACGGCACGCAATAGTTAAACAAAGACAATAAAATGTTTATGTTTTCATCATTTAATGCATCATATACATATAACGTCTGATTTATATATGCCAATATAACATGTCCTTTGATTTCCATAGTCTAAGACTATGGATAATTGTGATTTTTTAAAGTCAAAACTAACGACAAACAAACTTTATTTCATAGGTAAAATGTGGCCATACAATACTGCAGTTTTAATGCTAATAAAATTAGGTTACAGATATTTATATTCCTATACCGGGCCAAACGGATGTATAAACCAAGGAGCTCTACTGCTAATAATAAAATTTTGTAGTACCTTACCTATTTCTGCCGCCAAGCAGTAATGTCAGCATTACTGCGTTCCGGTTTTTGGGTATTTGTGAAATTACAGGCACATGGGACTAGTCAACTTGTGTCTCAAAGTGACGGGCGCAGTGGCAGTGCCCCTTAGATCTTTGCGATTTAAAGCTCTGAGTGGCACTGCAACTATTATAGGTATATAACTTACAATAAGGCAGTAACCTATCACAAACTCGAAAGCTTTTCGTTGCTTTTTCTAATGTTTGCATAAGTTCATAATTGTACAAATGCAAATTAAAGAAAGCATAATATTAATTAAGAGTAAGATTGATCAAATCATATAGCATTTTTTTTAAATTTATTAATTATTATTTAGAAATTAGAAATTATGATTTATTAAATAAAGTGAAATATAATTTCATCATCTTCGTATTTAAGGGCTACGCTCTTGTCAGTGGAGCAATCTCCAAGCTTCTCTGTTTAGCGCTTTAGCCTTGATTTCCTGATACGACACAACACTAACTTTTTCCTTTATCTGATCTAAATAACTTACTCTCGGTCTTCCTCTGCCTCTTTTTAAAGAAGATATCGACTAATTTCGGTCATAGAATCCTTATGTGGAAGAAAAGTTCCCCTGAAAATTTACACAATGTAGCCTTATGTAAACTAAGTACACTAAGTATGTGATTGTGAAGTATCAGAATATTGTAAATGACACTGAAGTAATAAACGAATTCTGCCCATGATTATATAGTGTAACGTTATTTAATTTGAAGTTTACCATGAGCTTTTGAAAGAAAGGAAGAAAGAAAGAAAATACGTTTATTTGTTTACCACAATGACACCACAAAAGACAAAAGACAAAAAAAAAACAGAAAACGGAACAAAACAGAACTAAAACAAAACACGATCAAAACATTCAACGTAAATCAAATATATAATTACGAAACAAAAACACAAACAAACACAAAATAAAAATGTACAAAAATTAGATAAAATTAAAACATGAACTATTCACACAAATAATAAAAAGAAGACTAAATATTGAGATACCTTGTGTGGTGCCAGCCGCGGTAACAAAAGGGTCACAAACTCAGTATTTGCTGGAAAACGCAACGCGTTCCCAGCACTGATTTTCAGTTAAGACCCTAAGTGAGGTCACGGAACAACATATGCAAGCATACTTTGGTACTTGAATATAACAGTAAAATAATTATATATACGTACATATTAAAACTGTAACAGATGTGTGTGTGTGTGAGTGTGGGTGTGTGTGTTGTGTATGTTTAAATACTTCCAAATAATTTATGTATAACTGTGAGAATACTTATAATAATTAATACGTATACACTATACCTACATCAAGCAACTAATATTATTATATAACAAATGTGTATAAAAAGTATAAATAAATAGGTGCTGGAAAAAGTTAACACAATCCCTTTTGATTTTCCATCTCATCGTCTTTTCGATGTTTGATGCATATCGTTGTATGAATTGCGTAACTTCGTGATAACTATTACCAGTATTAGCATACGAAATTTGATTACAAGGTCATGACCTTACAATCAATTTTATTTCAATAATCTTTATAACAACTTCTTGTTATTATTCTGATATCACAATATCGCACGGACTTTATAATATATAAATAAGATTAGAGGGAACAAGTTACCGTCACTGAGAGGCCGTGTGAGACGAAAATGAAGAGTGCAGCGTTTTTTTGCACGATACAATTTGTGTTCGCATCATGTCTGAACTTCGAGTACTTGGATCCTAAGCAGCTGCAGACAGCTACCACCGCCAAAACGCAGGAAGTCGCAGCCACACGTATCATACATAAATACGACAAAAACAAAATTGTGCATGTCCACATAAATGCCACGCTCTTTCAAGAATGAATTAATAAATGAATGAATGAATGAATGAGTGAGTGAGTGAATGAAATTTATTTGCTTAAAATATGGTTTACAATAGGTGGTACAAGTATACATAATAAAACAGTACTCATATTTTACCGCTATCGGCATGCAAATCTATGAATGTCAACATATTGGCAGCTAAACAATTCTAAAGCAAGTCCTATCATGCATAAAGATAATATATTATAATAGTAAGTTATTGCCATGTTATGAAGATGTCAAAAAATATAAATACATTTCTTATTAAATAAGTTAAGTGGTCAAATTTATTGAGAATTATATGTAAAGAAGTCATTATCTGAATAGAAATTTTTTTCTCTTAGCCATGATATCAGCTGACGTTTAAATCGAAGATTATTATTTATCATTTTTATATCAGAGGGTAAAGCATTATATATCCTCACACACATGGCCCCGCACTGTTTCTGGTAGTAACTTAGTTTAGTATAACTATTACAAACTAATCTGCCTGGACCCCTTACATTTATATTGTGAATGTCTCTCGTTTTTTTAAAAAGTTTATTATTATTTTTTACAAAATTGGATACTTCAAAGATGTACATACAAGGCAGCGGCAAGATGTTAAGATGAGATGGCAAGACTCTAAAGACGTGTTCATACTTTACACTGAAGCTGAAATATTGAACATAAAGGCAAGTAGCGGTGTTGCAGCCGTCTGGGGCTACAATTATTTCCTCAAGAAGTACTACAACAGTACCATCGGATAGATGGAAATAGGAATGCATCACAATCACGATGTTATACTGAAAGAAATACAAAATATTACAGAAAAAGTGGTCGCCACAGTCAGGTTTGCTACTTTAGCAACTCCAACGCATTTTCATACAATTCCGTTTGGTGGGACGAACAAAAGTGGTTGCAACACGTCGATTGGATGACACTAAATGGAATCAATGTTGCGGTAGTTCCAGTCGCAGAGGAAGCCGCTTGGTCAAGAGTGTATAGAACGCTCGGAATGACGCAGGATCAAATTGATCAACACTCCACTGGGCCCGCTTACCTTCCCTACCAGCGTATGGGGAAGTTACGCGAATGGGGAGGTCCTTTGCCAAAGTCATGGCATCAACTTCAAACTGAAATCCAAAAAACTATCACCACCTACATGATCGATCTTGGCATGGTTCCTGTTTTTCCTACGTTCAACGCGCACGTGTCTCGAGAACTTTTTGATTTGTTTTCATGGAAATCGATGAAGATTAATAAATTCTGGTCTACATACACCGCCGAGAAACACTGTTGCGACATGTTTGTGGATCCGGAGGATCCTTTATTTGAACGCATAGGTAAAATGTTCCTGAATGAAATTACCAGTGGTTAGCCAGTCACTCACTTGTATTACGCTGCACCATTTTATCAGATCGAAACGGACGGATTAACTACAAAGACTACTCAAGCTATACTTTCAACACTAACAGACTTTGATGATCGAGCTGTGTTAATAGTACAAAACACTATGTGGAATAGTGAATCTAGTAGATGGGCGGATCATATAGTAGAGTCAGTTTTAACAGCTGTGTCTAAAGGTCGAATGATTATACTGGACACGATGTTACAGAAAGACTTAAATAACAAGACGTGTACCTTATTCCATGGTCAGCCTTATATATGGATCGTTGACACGCAAAAACTAAATTGGGATATGTACGAAGCCATAGATCCACCGTACAATACTATTGTCGGATTGGGGGTGTCTCCTTCTGTGATGGAGCAGAATTACATGCTGGTAGAGTGGGTGTTAGAGGCGGCATGGCGAAGTAAGCGTCCATCGCTACCAGAGTGGCAGCAACAATATGCTTCGCGTCGTTACGGTTGCAATGCTACCGCTAGCGCGTGGGGTCACCTGCTCAACAGTGTCTACAAAGGTAACATGGATATTTACACTATTATAAGCTGGCCATCGCAGCCATTATATAATGTTTATTCCCGGTTTCCTAAATATGAGTTGTTAGAAGCTTGGAGGAAGTTTGTGTTCGTGCCTGATGACGAGTGCCGCAGCCCCGCCTTTGAATACAACCTGATAGATGTGACTCGCCATGCGTTGCACTATCGCGCTCTTCAGGTGTATATGTCTCTGCGGAACAGTATAAATTCAGATATTCCTCGTGCAGATTTTCGATACATGTCTATTGCTTTTATGGATTTACTTAAAAATATTGGTTATTTAGCATTTAGCAATAAATGCGTGCAAGAGGCCAGATCGACATACTTAAGAAATATATTGGGAGTGCCACAGGGAAGTGTACTGGGTCCTCTTCTCTTTATTATATATATAAATGAACTGCCACATATTACTCAGTGTTATACACGCTGTATACCTATTATGTTCGCTGATGATGTCACAATATTATTTACTAATAACGGAAAAACAAAAATTGACTACGAATTTGACATAAACAATACATTGAACGGTCTTATTACCTGGCTTAAATCACTAAATTTAAAAATAAATAATTCTAAAACAAAATATATGCAATTTGGTAATTACAAAAAAATTTACTTAGATTTACACATAACTTATGAAAATGACGTTATTGATGAGGTAAACACTACTAAATTTCTTGGTATTACTATAGATAAAAATTTAAATTGGAAACATCACATAGATGTGCTAAATAACAAGCTTGGTAGTTATTGCTATGCTTTATCTGTATTGGTCGATGTAGCGTCGGTTGAAGTTGCAAAAAACGCATATTATGGGAACGTATACCCATTATTAATGTATGGTGTAATTTTTTGGGGAAACTCTGTCAATGCGGTTAAAATATTCATAATACAAAAACGATGCTTACGCATAATCTATAGTAAACCCAGTGACTATTCTCTAAGAAGTCTGTACAAAGAAAAGGGTTTCCTGACTTTAACAGGAATATATATTTTGGAAATATGTCTTTTTGTACGTAATCACAGTAACTTCTTTACTAAAATATCTAATGTGAACTCCGTTAACGTCAGAAACAAGGACCGTCTTGTCCTCCCTAAAATAAACAGCACGATCTTTGACCGCAGCACCTATGTAACAGCGATTAGAATTTATAACAGACTTCCAATGGAAATGAAATGTTTAAATGGTGATAAATTTAAAGCTTGTTTAAAAAAATGGTTAATTGACAAAGTTTTTTACAATCTTAACGAATTTTATATAAAGACATCAAATATTTGACAATTGTATAACTAACTTAATTATAATTTAAATTTTTGACATTTAAGTTGTAATAAATTTTAATTGAATTGTAATTTTAAGACATTGTACGCCTGATTTGGGTAAGAATTGTAGATCTAATCACTTATAAGTAACACCTGTATTTTACCAATTCATACAATAAATGTTTCTGATTTCTGATTTCTGATTTCTGGTTATTTGCTTCATTCTAATGATGCCTTCACCTATGACGAGTGATTGACTGAGGCAAAAAATATGTCAAGTAACCTCGAGGAAGCACACTTGTACGTTTTTCATTCCCGTAGAATTGTTCTGTCGCTGTCGCAGTTCTTGTACACACGCAAGGATATACATAGGGCAGAACTTTATTTGGACCTTTACGTGCCAATGTGGAACATGTATTTTGACTATATAAATACTCGTAGAAGTCGTGCGCAACCAGATTATGAATTGAAATATGTCGTCGAGCAAGATTTCTTGAGTAAAAATTTTCAGCGCCTACAAAAAATTAACACTAGAAGTTTTGTGAGGGAACTTTACAAGAAACACGCGTTAATGCCCCATTTCCCAGACCTACCTATTGTTTAGGAAACTGAAATTAACAGTATAATCTAATGTTAATACATTGATGTATATAACTAAAACTAAGTGTCCATAAGTATATTTGTCGATGTATGTTATTTTATTTCATTTCAACATGTAATACATTTGTTAAAACCTGTTTACGTAAAGATAAAGCTGTTATTTGATGGACATGAAGTTTAGGATGCTCACCCCCCAAAAAATACTGAATATTAATTTCGAATATAAATTTTTACTTTTGGTATATTGAGATGTATTATCAAATAAACAAAAGCGAACCTCAAAGGTTGTAAAAACGAGATGTATTGTCACGTTATATGTATATGTGTATCAATTCCCAGGGATCCACTCGAGTGTACAAAAGGTCCATGTCAGGGGAAAAAAGGGGGTGTATGAGACGTTAATGGGGGTCCACACTCTTTGTAATCACAGTTTTATTGAAATCGGATAACGGAAAGTGGGTGAACTTCGGTTCCAACAAAAAGAATCATCGAAATTCTTTCACAAATGTTGGAGTAACATACACACAAAAAATGCAGTCGAATTGAAAACCTTCTCCTTTTTTTGAAGTCGGTTAAAAAGTAAATTTGTAAAATTTTTACGAAGCAGTTAAGCCGCTGTATATAGAGTTTAATCTCGTTAACAAGGTCATTGAACGCCCGGATATTGCGTAAAAATTCTATAGTTAGATGACAATTATTACGGTGCACTGCTTTATCCCTGCGTAATCTTTCGGACTAAAACAAAACCATTAGTATCGTACTACTGTGCCACCCTACAGTACTTGCACTGCGTAGCGGGAATTCTAAACGAAAACTTCTTTCAGTCTTGCGTTCACTTGCGATTGAACAGTCGGTGTGAGCGCCCGCGCGGACAACCCAGACGCGGCGCGCAGTGCGTCCCGCTCGCGCGTAAATAAAAAAACTTTTTAGAAAAGCAAAAATGTACGAACAACGTGTAAACTTCGGACGCTGGCCATTTTATTCAATATTTTTTTCGGTTCCATCACTTCTGTCAAGTTTCGAAAAGTTTTAAATGAGAAAACTGTTTAAAAATCGAATTTCAAAGTTTTAGTGCAGTTTTTCTTTTTAATTGACAATGAAATTTTGAGATAAGGCTGTCGTTTTGGAGTCAAGGATTCGACCGACTTGTAAGTAATTATCATAAGAAGTAGTTTCATGGTAGTTATACATAATGGCGCCTAACGTTGTGTTACTAAGCATTTTAATCATAAACGGCACTTGAACTCCTTGGAACATTTTCCGTGCATGTCTATTATGATAATGGTGGCAAATTTTTATTATGCTGTCCATGTGGATGATATTGACAATGAATAATAGTATGTTTATGTTAATGTAACAAATAACTAAGAAGCTCAAAATTGTGTAAAAGTTGTAACTAGGCACAAAAATTCGCCATTTTTTTGTCTCTAATTATTGTTAGGTATGTTTTGTTTACCTTAGAAAGTTTAGAAATAAAAAAAATATTATTCTGTTAAAAAAAAACAAATTGAATTTTGTCATAGCTAAAGAAGTAAAGATAATGAACATAATAATTGTAATTTTGTTTTTTTTCTCTGTTATATTATTTTGACATCTGGGCACGTTTTGCAATGTATTATTTTTATTGATCCAAATAACTATCACTAAGTTTGAAATATTAGTTACCTACTATTAAATTCTAAACAACCTGTATTCCACAAATGAAGTAATTCTTTAATAGAAGCTTAAAAAATAAAACTTAATTAATTGTATTAAATGTGTTGTATGCATTTAAAAAAACGTTAATGTAAAAAAATATTTAATAAGACATTTCTTATACAAAAAGTTGGATTTATTTAAAGTAAGAACCTACTATATCTTATTATTGGTTTATATCGAAATATTGCCAAGGAGGACAGTAATTGAAGGACGTACATACGAGACTAACTATTTATTCTCAAGTTTATTAACCACCTACTTATGATATACCATTCCTCCACCTCTAACTGAAAGTTACACAATTATAAAAAATATATAAAAAAGACCATTTTCCCAGGTATGTGTGTTGTTTGTAAACAATTTGAATTGTACGCTGAATGAAGTTGAATTCAGGCCCTGCTTTATGGTATTGAATTTGTTTTTTTGTTTTAGTTTCATTATGTCGCTAATGATAGGCCTTAGTAAACTAAATGATGTTCCTACTTCTCTGCCTAAAGAAATTCAGCTGGCGACTTACCAGTTATGGTGTGTGGCGTTGACCTTTACACAAGTAAAAATATTTGTAAAGCGCTCTCTACATCAATTTATCATGATACGCTTTCTTTATAGCGGATTTCATTATTTTGACTGCATTTTAGGCTGCCCCGTTACTGCTTGGGTTATAGGGTGTGATCAACGCATGACATACACCTACACTATTTAGAAATTCCTTAAAATCTTTACCATTAAAAGGCGGTCCGTTGTCAGACACAGAAGGCAGAATTGGCTAAACAAATTTCGTAGTTTGTTGATGGTATGCTTGGCCGCAGTGCTCGGTATCTTGAAACACTCGATCCACCTAGAGTGTGCATCGACAATCACTAAATAGTATTCAGTGTTAGCAAATAGAGTGAAAAAACCGATATGCAGACGATGCCATGGTTCCTGCGGCCACGACCAGGCATGTAGTGGGGCGGCGCGCGGAGCAGCGCGCTCTCGACTGCAGGTAGCACACGCTGCACACACGCGCTCGATGTCACTGTTTGACAATGTTTAATTTTAAAAAAACAGCTTCAACTATTCTGGCTTACAGTAGCACCAGTTCGTCTTCATTGCCTTCATTAATATTTGCAAAATTTCATCTTTCTTAGTATGTTTCATGATGTCTCTAAAATTTAGTGGTCCAATTTTCTCGATTAAGTTTATATAATTATCGATATTGAAGTGCTCTTCATCGTAACTGCACGCTGCGATCGCCCTGCCGCCATTAAAGGCACACCCGTTTTTTCACTAAATATCGCTGCCAATGGTTTGCAATCTGTAACCAATAAGAACTCTCGTCCGTATATATAATCATGAAATTTTGTAACAGCAAATATGACAGCTAGGCCTTCACGGCAGATTTGGGCGTAGTTTGCCTCGGCGGGTGAAAACGTTCTCGAGGCGTGAAGCACGGGCCGCTCCGTGCCGTGTCGGCGGCCCGCATGCGTCGCATGTCACCACACACGGCAGTGCCAGATCGAAGTGTGCCAAAACGCTGCTGGTACTTAATTGTTTCTTCACCTTCGCAAAGGCATCTTTACAAGCATTGGACCAGATAAACTCCTGGCCCTTTTTTAACAGGTTATATACTGACTCAATGTATCCCTTAAGTTTCTTATAAACTTGCCATAATAATTTATTAAACGTAAAAACGTTTTAAGTTCTCTTGTATTGCTCGGTACTTTAGTATTAACCGCCGCGTCGACTTTTGACTTGTCTGTGTGCAAACTTTCGGCGTCTATTACGTACCCTAAGTACGTACCTAATCGATTTTTTAAAGAAACTACACTTCTTTGGTTCCACGCGCAAACCACAGTCGGATAAAATCCTGAATACTTTTAATAGTCTCTGCCATAAATCTTGACAAGTTACACCGCTTACTGTTATATCGTCCAAATAACAAGTAACGAATGGCATTATAACTAATAAGGTGCACACTTAATTACGAATGGCAGGCGATTAAAACAAAACATCCCTTGTTGTGTTACAATTGTACAAAGCTTTTCCGAGTCGTCATCTATCTCGAATTGTAAATATGCGTTACATAAATCGATTTTAGCAAATAACCTGCCGCCCTGGAGCGAGGTGAAAACGTCTTCGATTCTCGGAATTGGATATTTGTCTTTTTGACGACGGGTACCACGGGCGTACCCCACTCGCTCCACTCCACCGGTGAGATAATGCCCTCGCTGGAGTCGCGCCAGCTCGGCGCGGTCACGACGCACTTCCAGTCTCAGAGCGCATTTATTAAATGTACCAATACCAGATACTTTAGGATTTTTTTTTTCACGCATTCGTAGAATCACTGGGTGTGTAGTTACGTAACATATTGTTTACTCCGACACAACGGGGAAACGGTATATCGAAAGATCCACTCCAATCCAATCCTGCCCCAACAGCGACGGACTGGACTCATTATTATAATGAGCTTCAAATTGTAAAGGACGCGACCATTCACATCGACTGTGCAAATAATTATAACTTTAGGTTTTACCTTTTGACCACTATACATTTTAAGCGCTTACCGCGGATCCCGTATCGCCTTCCGTAGATAGGGGTACGTTAATAATTTTCACCTTAATGTACCAACGGTTGTGAAGGTCATCATCAACTGGTAAACACATTCGCCCCTACTTCATCACAAACGATAGAACACGCGTCTGACGCTCGTTCATCGTTCACATTATGCACCGGTTTTCGTTGACGTAATCGAGACACTTTGGCTATACGACCCCGTTTACCGCACACAAAACAATCACTATGTCTGAATGAACACATATCCGGATGGTGCCCGCACTGGCACCGGTAGCAATTCTGCTGCCTGGTGCCAGTCCGCCGCTCACCGCGTATACCGTCTCCTGCTCGCCGCCGGCACCGCTGCCGCGAGCCCGCTCAGTCTCCGCTCCTGAGCTGGAGTCTAGTACCGCCCGTCTCCAATGACAGCGCCATTTTCACCGTAAGTGCGAATGTTAGCTCGCTGTTTTTTTCGGTCAATATTCTCTGACCCGTACGTTCCCTGGATAACCCGTACACGAAATGGCCGCGTAAATTTTCTTTTAAAATCTCATTGGTCGAGAATTTACAAGCTTTGCTTTGTTTTTTTTTAATCGCACCAAGAAGTCACTTGTTGATTCACCTTCGGTTTGTTTACAAGATTTAAAAATCATGCGTTCTGCTATTACCGATGGTTTCGGTGACAAATTTTCATCTACAACTTGTTCTGTATGTGTCTTCTGGCTTTTCTGGATAGCACAAGTCGATGATTAAATCTAAAGCTTCAGTACCTACGACTGCCACTAAATATTTGGATTGTTCTGACACTTTTATATCGTTACTAGTGAATCACGCCTTGAGCTGACTCATGTAGGTTGACCATCGATCTACATGTAATTAAAACTCTTTTAATCCTCCGATGTCAATTGCACTTTTCTCACACATTGCTCGCGTTTTGTTCACTATACTCACTAAATAACACACTAGTGGGTTAACTCGTCGCCAAATGGTTTATATCGAAACATTGTCAAGGAGGACAGTAATTGAAAGACGTACATACGAGACTAACTATTCTCAAGGACGAGGGTGGCCGCGAAAACATATTCACTTAAGAGGGAGCAGAGGAAAAATTTAAAGTTAAAAATAAAATATTGTATGAGTAACTACACGATATATTCAAGCATAGACATTAATCAGAAACATAAAACAATAAAGTTTCCTCGATAGATAAAAATCGCGAAATGACCTCTAATTTTCACATTTTTTCGATTTATCCTCGAAATGCTACAGGTTATTAGGACAAAAATTAAATAATTAATTATATTTATGCATGATCGACAACTGTCACTACGGATTTTTTTTAATCCCTTTATTTTTAGGGTTATTCCGCTAAAACGAATTTGGTTTGCTTTTAATACGCAAAATTCAACATCTCCTGTCGCATGTCACGCGAACTTCAGGCATATATTTGTTTCACAAATTTGAGCGGAACCAACGTGAAAACTTTTTTGGCATGCTCCCTCTTAATGTTTATTAACTACCTACTTATGATATACACTAATTATGACAAATAAACAAATTTATTGATTGTATTGTTTGATAGCGTTATCCTCGCACAATAAAAATTAAGTTTCTTTATTTATAAAGAAAAAAGTATATATTTATTGAAAAAAACATTAACAATATATTTTTGTTACTTTTTTGTTTGCAGATTGCTTGTCAATGTAACATTTAATTTTTTACTCGTCCACGTACAATCGTTAGTGACATACGGTTTCACGTGGACATGGTCTGTAGCTGTGTTTTCCTCTACCATTTAAAAAAATTAAAAATGAATAAGTACAATAAAAAAATATATATTATGCAAGTATATTTCTTTTACCAAAGTCGTTACGGACACACGAACGAAAATAAAACGGTCAATCTCGGACTCGTGTTCACTAACTAATTTCCGTGGCAATTTTTAACATTTAAATATTCAAGTATATTAACGTGTAATTATTCGATTATTAAATAATACTGCACAATAAAAAATCGAATAGTTAAATATTCAAATATGACCGAATACTTGTGTAAAAAAATTCAAACCTGACATCCTTAAAAATTAAGAAAAGAGAGAACCTTGCTCTAAAATCCATTTAGTGCAATGTTAAATGCGCCACGAAATGTTTCCATCTTCAATTACCTAGTTAGCTGAATGTTTTTTTTTTGGGGACTATATGTATATAACAAATCCTACACGAACGCAAACCAAATGCTGAAGAAGAAGAAAGAAATTGAGAAAACTATATAATACTTTCACTCAATTTGTGTATTTTCTGAATTGTAATTCTATATACAATTGGTGTACTGCTGTTAACCCGAAGATAACAAAAATCAATAATAAAATAAAAAACACGATTTGGAAGTTCAAAAAATTACTGAATGGAACCAGTAAATTTTCATTCTCGTTTATAAGTGGATAAGTAATTTATTATGTATAGGTACAGGCTGTAAATTTGATACGGGGCAGCAAGGCGAGCTACCGTAATCGTTGTAGTTACAGGAAAACGGTTCTAGAAGACTGTCCACGAAATTTGAAGTTATTTTTATTTGCATTCACAAATTTTGAAAAAATGGTACAGTCAGCAAGATAAAAGGCAATTTTTGCAAAACCTTTTTTTTATGTCATTCGATCCGGTCTCTGGTAAGGATCAATAGTGTCTATGGGGCCAACTGAGGTAAGAGTACTCGAAATGTCATGAAATCGGAAAATATCTATATATATATATATATATATATCATTGACTTGCAAATAAATGGACGACGGGTCTAATACAAAAACCACGAAAAAAATATCCCAAGTCAACCTATTTAAACGTAGTGACATGTAAAGGAATATGAAAAAGCTAAAACGTTGAATTTAAATTGTAATGTCATCGCAGTACTGTCTAATTTTGCTTGCTTCGCTGTCAGTCGAACAAACGAAGACTAAAGCGTGAATGACGCTCTGTATACGATTTTAACGCCCTAGGTATAAGTTCGGACACTTTTTAGCGCGGACCCGACGTCCATATAATTGTAAGTCAATGATATATATATTCCTATAAGATTAATTCTGCATTTTTTTTATCGTGTTTTCTCAATTTGCATCATTTTTCAGTTACGATAGCATAAAAACTCCACGTTTTTGGTATCGTTTATGTTGATAATGTTAGCGAACCCTGGCATTAATTTTTTTTATTTTGTTAGAAAACTTACTTTGCACCATTAACAATTAGTTTTATCGAAATAAGAAATAAATCGATATCTTCATCATCGATATCAACAGAACGCTGACAGGTGTCCGCCATTGCGAAAAAGATATTTGACGAGAAAGGGCATCATTTTGTCTTGTTTCGATTTATAGTGACAAGATCTTATCATTTGTAACAGTCACTGTAGTTTCATTTCTATATCTACTATGAAAAGCTTGTAATAAGTTGTTATTTGTTAC